TAAGCTAATAAGCAACTTCAACTATATCATGTTAAAATGCTATATGGAATTTTCGTATTTATATATATAATATAGCCATAGAGAGCATTTAAAGTGCTCCTTATCAACTGCTATCGGGGCAGCTTTTGTTGTTGTTTTTATTATTGCTTGCTCTGGTAGGCGGGCTGCATTTTGTAACCAATTTTGTTGTGTTTGTTTTTGCTTTTATTTTTCTATTTACTTTTTTTGTTGTTTTTTAGCTGCGCATTAAATTGGCTTGTGCTTTGTGGTCGTGGGCCAGGCAAGTCGGCTCAACTGACTTGGGCTCATCGTGGAGCTTCAGGCACTGGCCATGTCCTGGCGCAGCTGTTGCAGCGTTTTTTGCCTTTTGTTGTTGTTATTGTTACACTCTGTGGCTCTCTGTGGCAACGCTGGCTTTGTGAAATAGCAATTACTTTTTCATGCTTCACTGCAATAAAATTGCAATTTTATGCGGCCAGCCGCCAAACAAGCGAAGCCTCCCAAAGACACAGCAACAACAACGGGCAGCCGAACGGAAGTGCAGCCATTGAAAAGGCATTTCAAAATGGCCGCAATTTATGGCGGCAACAGTCGCTGCCAAAAGTTAAGGCCACAAAACAGGCCATGACTAGAGCATTTAACTGTCATGTGGAGTCATTAAAGGGCGTGAAGTGTATAAGCATCAAGTAAATCTATATGTGCGATGCACTAGAGCAATGTTAAGAGGTCGATTTTCGAATTCGGCCTGAAATGGCCAAGCAAGCGGAAAAATGCATTCTTTAAGCATTTTGAGAAGTGCAATTGAATAAGTTCAGCTCAAGCTTCCGCTAGAGAATAGCATATAAACAGCTGTATATAAGGCTTACTTCTTATAAAATATGTACCTTGTTCAATGTGGAAGTAGAAAATGCTGAGGCATTTTTAGTGTTACACTCTCAAATGAAATTTCAATTGAGAAGCAAACAAAATTGAATGAAAAGTCTGGAATGGGCAGCCAAACAGAAGTCTATAGAAATCATATAGAAAATGCCTAAAGAAGAGAGTTGAAATTGATTAGGGTTAGGTCAAGCTTTCGCTAGAGAAAAGTCAAACTTGTTATAAAATATTTAACTTGTGCAATGCCAAGCAAGTTGAGTTATATTCAGAGTTAAGCTTTCAAATCAAAATTCAATTGAAGAGAAAATAAAGTTGAAAGCATTAAATGGACAACAAGTTTATGAGAAACTGAGATGGGTAGAAAGTAGAAAGGTTTTGCGAATCACAATTGAATAAGTTTAGGCCAAGCTCTTGCTCATTATAAAATATCTGCAGACATTTCTGAAGAGAAAAGTTTGAAGGATTGAATCGCTTAGAATATGCCAAAAAAAACTTCTTGTACTTTGTCAGACTATAAAATTCAATTACGCAAAATTGAGGTCAAGCTTAAGCTAAAGCACAACTTTTTAATATTTGCAGTTGTTTCTCACATTTCTAAGAACATTTGTCATGTTCAATGTTTTGCGTTTCAAATTAAATTTAATTTGACTAAAGCTAAAATCTTACTGACTTCCGTTACATAGTTGCTCAAGTTGTGGCTTAGCATGCTATACTCTCCGTCTTCATACTTTCAATTTAAAGAAATGCCAAATTACATTCAAGCATCCGGCTGCATATTCATTAGTTGCGCTTCCTGTTGAAAATGCGCTGCCCAAAAAAGTATGCTACGCTTTTTATGCCCAGCTGCAATGCAAATGAAAAGCAGCAGCAGCAGCAGCAGCAGCAGCAGCGACTCAGCTGTGTAAAAGTAGATTTTAAATATACAATGCGCTTTTATCCTGTTGCGCTGCTCTGTTTCTCTCAAGCTCTATCTCTGTCTTTTTCGCTCTCTCTCTATTTGTTTTATTATTACATTCATTTTGACACTTCATCAGACGTTGGCCCTGTTTATACATTTTTTTTCTGCTACTGCAGCTGCAGCTGCTGCCTGTTTGCTTTGTGTTCTGATGTCAATGCTTTGCCTTAAAGGCTTAGCTGCCCCGCCCCGTCCATGTCCAACGCCAACCGCGTCCCACCCTACCATTGTCAGGCTGTGCGCTCGTTAGCTGCGACGCTTGCGGGCGCTGCATTTTGTTTAAGAATTTTTAATTTTAAATGCAAAGCAAACGGGCGCGTAAAGAGAATGCAATATGCAAACGTGCTGCAAACTGTAAAAAAAAACCAAGAATTGTCTCCATTTTCCGAGTCTGGCCTGGCAAAAGACTAAAACGCGTATTAAACCTAAGCATAGCAGCAAAAAAAAACAAAAACAAACAAAAAACAAACTCATATTTATGTGCATAATTTTGTAAGGTGTTCATTTTGTATGCAAATCGTGAGTAATTACATTTGGTGTTAGAGATGCACGTAGATGTATATAGTTTTAAATTCAAATATAAAGTTTTGAGAGGCAGGTAAATTTATATAAGTAGATAACACGAAACATAGGCTTTCTATATAAATTTGACTATCGCTGATAATTAGAGGATAATATTTTTCAAAAATCAATTTTAAATATTCCTCTTTGTTAATTTAAAAAAAGTAAAACTTAGAAATGGATTAAGCTTTCAAAAAATAGAGATGAAAGCCGCCTGAATGACTCCACCTCTTTACAAATATAAATCTCATAGGCCAACTGCAGTTTTTCAATTAAAGTGCTAATCGGGGCGCTGCTAGGCTCAACAGAAGTAAAAGAGACATTATTTAATAAAATGTTGGTGAGCTTATAGCGAATAATTAAAAAAGCATTTTTATTGTATAAATATAAAAAAACTAAATATTTTTCTAAAAGTAAATATAAAATTTGTAAGTCTATTACAAATTTTTCAAATATTGAAAGAGGTAAGAGAGAATGGATATCATAATAAATAAAATAAATAAATAAATTAAATACATTTAATGATTTTATAAATATATGAACATGAAACAGTGTATCAGAAATCAATTAATATCTATGCTGATCTGCTCGCCGCTCTGTAATTGACCTAATCGTTTTGCTTGAGTAATATATAAATGAAATCATTTTATTAATCAATATATTATTAATAAATATATAATATATATATAATATCATTTTATCATCATTTTATTAATCAATATATTATTAATAAATATTTAATATATATATAATATATATTGTTAAATACAATTTATTCACATTAAGTCAAGATACTTTAAATTTATAAAAAATGGATTTTATTTCAAGCTTTAAAAATTGGTTTATTACATCATAAAAATTTTTAAGTTAACCAAATAATCGCATTTGATTAAGACTTGATTTGATACCACATTTCCATTTAATAAATTTAACTTAAGAAGTTTAAACATTAAATTTCAAAATTCCTTATATATATACATATATATATATTCATATAAAATATACTTAAAATATATATACAGGTTTATATATCAGCTTCTAATTTCGCATTTAAATGCAATCTTATCAAATCCCCAATTAAGAAAGCTGAAATAATTTCCACTTGAATACGAAAATTGCATTTTAATTAATTTTATCGCAAACAGCTTTACCAATAGCTAACAGCCCCAATTCATGGTGTCATACTCGAAAACGATTTCATTTCTCAGCTGCATTATAATCAAGTGCAATTAAAATGCAGCCCCTGCACTCCATACCCAGTCACGTCGCCCTCTGCCTCTCTCTCGAGCTGACTACCTCGCTGGCATTGTAATCAATATGCCATTATCAAACTTCAAGTTGGCTGCTGGCTCCGGCAGGCAGCTACCTCATGAAAATCCATCACACAGCCATGGACAGAGTATTAACACAGTCTTTCGCTTCTGGCACGCCACCCACTCCACACCTATCCAGCTCCCACGGAGATTGTTGGTGGGCGCCACAAGTGGCAATCATTAAAAATGAATTCTCAAGCAAGCGCAGCCGCAATTTTCGCTGCACTTGCCTCGTGCCACAAATCCGACACTGAATGCTACTTAGTGGCATGAAATTCCCATTGTGCGCTGTGTGGCATGCCACACACAAAGAAAAACTTGAGTGTAGAGATGAGGAAGAGCAAGAGTAAGGCAACTTATGATCCAAAAACTGCAAAGAACTCTTAAGAAATTATCAAATTGAGATGCAGAGAGAGGGAGAAAGAGAGAGAGGGAGTGAGAGAGGCAGAGAATTTCTAGTTTTTCTTGCTCGTTTTCAGTTGCATGCATAAATAATTCGACGATAACGATGGCAGACAAATAACGGGGCGTATGAGTCTTTTTTCTGTTACTTGCTATGCTGCGCAGTCTGTGTGTGTGTGTGTGCGGGTGCGTGCGTGCGTGTATGTTTGTCAGAGCCAATTTATTATCGCCAAGAAAGCGAGCAGTCGGCCAAGCAGCAGCAGCAGAAGGCAACCAAGAAAATTTGTATGTTAAAAACTTTCTGGCTCAATAAAAGTTTGCCTTTGTTATGCACAAGCCAGAACAATAGAGAGACAACTGTGCAGAGGAGAGGGGCAGAGCTGAGGGACAGAGACATATGGCGAATACAAAAAAAAAACACATACACCCACACACACACAAAAAGCGCAAAACTTTCATTCAGTGCCAGTGGCGCCCGCATGCTACTATGATGGCAAGTGGAAACACAGGAACGGAACAGGCATCGAATCAGCTTTTGGAGCAAGTTGCACCAACCGAAAACCAGAAACTCGTAAACTTTTGCATATCAATAAATTTGAGATCCCTACACCCACCCTTTGACCTTTGCCCGTCCACACAAAACTATATCTTGTTCCATTTGCCACACGAATTATTGATGTTGATTTGCGGTGCTATTGTGAAATGGCAGAAGGCAAATGGCAAACAGCAAATGGCAAACACTTGCAGCTCTATCTGCAGTCTATATGCAGCTATAGCCCCAGCTAGCCCCTAGCCACATGCCGTTTATCAGTTTTGCCGTTTCTTTGTAAGCTAAAACTAATTTTCATCTTTCTCATTGTCTTATCGTTGTGCTTTTGTTTCTCTCTTTGCAGTTTGCTTAGCAGGATATCATGAAAAGAGACTGTTACATGATCTATTGGATCCTTATAATACACTAGAACGTCCGGTTCTCAACGAGTCGGACCCGTTACAATTAAGCTTTGGTTTAACTTTAATGCAAATTATCGATGTGGTGAGTACAAAAAATTATGAATAACCTAATGTAATAGCTATGAATTGTGATGTAATATGAATTTATAATATTAAGGGAAAAAATTAAAGTTCTTCTTTTAAGAGGTGTATGCTTATTTGAGATATTAATTAAATCTTTATATGATATTTATGGAAAGTTATAAAACAGAAGAGACTTGGTAAATGTTGAAATATAAAAGATTGAAAAATTTAGAAAAGTGATATTGTATTTAACTACAGTTGACTCGCCTTAAAGTCCTTTTAAATGCTCAAAAATCTTGTAAGAATTTATATCAATTCATATAGCAACAGTGTCACTATATAGAGTAACTACAGTTCAGCATGCTTTGATACAGATGAAAATGTTTTTGCCGACAAACAATATTGAAATAGATCCAGTTCAGCTAAAAAGAGCTTTTATTTGGTCAGCTGTTCAAAAAATCTTATATAATTTTAAATCTCACTTATATTTATTATTATAAATATTCGGGTTTGACTGATAAACTTATTAGAAAGCACAGAAGCTGACAAACATGTTGATAAATATTTATATTTGCTATATATTTGCCATGTGAAGAGAGTCAAACTAAAACATTCTTTATTTTTAAGTATCTCTAAATATATATATTTTATAATTTCCTTTACGAGGGCCAAGCACACACTTTAATTCTGTCAATTCCAATTTTCAAGCTCAAAGCACAAAATTCATTTCGCTTTAGTTGCAGCTGCATTTCAAGCAATTTAACCCAACGTCTAAAGCGCTTAACAATTTACATTAAAAATAGATTAGCCACGCTCAAAATGTACCCATTTTGCAGTGCTTTGCATTTAAGCAGCCAACTTTAAAGTGAAAGTTGTTGCCGTGGAATATTTAAAAAAAGCGAAGGTGACAAAAGCTGATGACACCATTTTGTGAGCTGTGCATGAAAAGTGAATTGTCAAGAAAGTGAAATTTTAATTATTTGCCTATGTGTAGGTGTGTGTGCGTGTGTGTGTGTGTTCCCTGAATGACAGCTTGGCTTGAGTTCTCGGGCTGGCTGACTGGCCTGGATGTAGACAGGACGCACACATCCTGGCAGGCCGCCTGCCAGGCGAGTGTCGAGCAAATTACATGCAACGTCATGTGGCATGTGGCATGTGGCATGTGGCATTTGGCTCATTCGCACCTTTCGCAAAAGGTGGGCAATGTGCGAGCGAAGAGTGTGAGAGCATTGCATGCTGCATTCATCGGGGCAAAGTTTCTGTTGCGTAGAGGGCAGCCAAAGGTGGCTTCATTTGTACCTACATATATCAAGTCGGGTGCTAGGCGTTTGCTTTTGTTAGTGAGACAACCTCAATTCATATTAGATTCTCTATAGCATATATATGTGCATTTGTGTGCGTGTGTGCGTTGTTTGTTGCCTGCCTGCCTGCCTGTGTCCCGGGCAAAGTTGGGATTCAAACTAAAAATGGAGCGCACAAACAAAAGACACTGCGCCTGAAAGCCACGCAGTCAAAAGGGGTGTGGCATGGAGAAGTGTGGAGAGTCATGGAGAGTAGGGCTTGCAGTGGGATAGCTGCAGCTCGAGGCATAAAAATAGGCCTACAACTGCGCATTCACTGGCGCGCGCTAAAAGTCACACACAGAAGAAGAAAAAACTGCTGCAAAGCATTCACAACACACACACGCACACACATGTGGCATGCAAATAAAATGAATAAATAAAATTGTGCACATGTGTTGTGTTCACACCTGCCGCTAAAATACACACACGCACACACATAAAAGTTGCGAGCCAAAATGAAGTGCGAGCTGCGCGCTGCGAGTTGCGAATTGCGATATTTCTTATTGTTGCTGCTGCAAAATGAAGTTGAAAACAAATGCGGCACAATGCTTTGGCCACTGGTTTGTTATACCCTGTAACAGAGGAGTATATGGATAACTAAAGTGCGTGAAAAATGTGTGCATTAGACCTGAGCATATAAGCAGAGAATACTTTGAGTGTCTATTCTTGCATAGCTCTTAGTTTTAGCTTTGGATTATTACAAATGATCTTAGATGATATCGATATCTGTACTTATCGATACTTATCGATTTGAACTTAGTAAGTTTCATCTATTAGAGCGTTTTAACGAACTTACCCTTAGACTTGCGGCTTAGAAAAGGCTTTAGATGTTAATTATATTTAACTATATTAAAACAATTTATTTCTCGACTAATATCGTTAAGTATGATGAACCCAAACTGTAGTTAGTTGCTTAAAAAGTTATTTCCCTTAAAGGCATTAAATGTAAAAGAAAAGGCGCTTATAAATGAATCACAAATGTAATTTAAGGCCACATTATCTTCTGTCCTGAATTACGGACAATTGCTAGTTGACTACAGGTCATCTTACAGTTGATCATGCAAAGCAATTGTTAGTTCTCTGCTGCTTGTCGTCTTTTCAGTTCTTACTCAAAAATTGCTGGCAGTAAAAACTGCAGCACGCACACTCCAGAAACAACAACAACAGCAATTACAGTTGCTGTGCCAGGCATAAAAATGCGAAAATCGGGTCATTTTGTTACAGTGGAGCTGGCTGGGGGTGTTAACACAGCCATCAGTTACCCTGTAAAACAGCACGGGGCAGAACAATGCAACAAGAGCTGTTACGGTTGCTGTTGCTGGCGTTGCTTTTGCTGCTGTTGCTGCTGCTTCATCGTAAAGTTTATGTTCTGTGCAAAGTGTCAGCGCGTCATCTCGAAGTATGTGTGCCTGACTGACTGACTGACTGGCTGGGACTCTCTGTTGCCAGCTAGCGGTGCTTAAAGTTTTTATTTAAGGCATAAGTTGCGAATTGCTTAGGTGTTGCTGCTGCATGACGCTGCATGTAAATATCCCTGCTTATGTGCCGCAATTAACGCCCGCAATCAATGTGGCAAACTTCTCAAATGCGGCCATAAACGATTCAAGTATTCAGACTTAGCGCATATATATATACATGCTTCTTGTTGGCACAGGCTGTCAAAGTTAAAAGTAATAAGGATAATATGGAAATGCATAAGTGCGTTGAAGTGTGTGGATTATGGGTTATTATATATTTCTTGTGCTTCAACTACTTAAAGAGCATTTAATGTGTACTGAACTGGCGAGAATTTGAAGTACCATATTTATATATATATATATCATATATATATCTTGATATCTATATATTCTATTATATATGTTTTCATATCTCTTTCCATATACGTTTGCTCATCTATATTGCTCTTTAAGCAGCATGGACTGGGCATATCAAACAATTTATAATAATATAATTGCATAATTCTTATTACAGAATATTATCATAGCATATGCTCTTACTGCCATTATAAGTAAAGCTTTTGATCTAGTGTTAAGTCTCAGCTACTTCAGCAATGCTTAAGGCAATATTCCCTAGAAAAAAATTAATGTTAATAGCTTGATCTTTGACAAAGCTTCAGGTTATAAACTTTACTTCAAGATATATTGAAGAATAGCTTAAGCTATATATAAACGATTCTATAGCTTGTATATATGCCATACTTCTGTCACGAGTCGAGCACTTGCTTGGACATGCACAAGTTGGTTTCATCAGATCAGCTTGGCTTTTCCATGACACAATTGCTATGATCACATATTTTAGAAAGTAGCTAGATATGTTATTCCTCACTCAATCTGACAACAGCAGCAAATACCTTTACTCAGTATTCTCAATTCATATACTTATACATACAAGCTTAACTACAGTTAAGTCTAGTACCTATATTAGCTATGTCTTATTTGGCAGCTGTGATTAAAGAAATTCAGACCAAGTTTGCTATAGTGACTAAATGTTATATATGAGCTGCTAGCTATATAACTGTACTTATATATACATTTATGTGTATTTATATATTATATAACACTTACAGTTTTCAGCTATTCTAGCAGAAAAAAATTTCACATAAATCTTTCCTATTTGCGACCAGTTCTCGCTCAGAGCAGGCAAAATAATTTAAAATTTTGCTATTTACACTTGAGCATAATATTTATGCACTTTTCGTTCGCTCCCACTCCTCTCAATCGCAATCTCATATGCCTTTCTCGCTTTCCTTTTTTGCCATGGCTACGCTATTACAGTCTCCCCGGGGATATTGAGGCATTTGACACTAGCAATATTTTAAGTGTTAACTGCATTCGCAGCTGCATTTGCATATTTTACGTGCACGCTGCTGGATGCTACGGTTGCTTGGGCAACAGTTAAGGGGGCATTGAGGGTGTGTAACGGGGTATTTGGGGCTGGTCTCAAAGCAATTTGAAGATTTAACACCTGACAGCTGCCTCAGCTGCTGCTGCTGCTGCTGTTGGCAGCTAGTGCTGGTGGGCGTGGCAAGGGCAGTGTAAAGGCCAAGCGTCGTTGTCCCCAGAGTAGTTGCAATTCAATTTAAAGCACAAAAAACTGGCACAGAGTGGGAGGGAGGGAGAGAGCAAGGATAGGCGAGTGTGGGTGACTGCAAAGCATCATCAATTCAGCTGCTTATCAGCGAGACAGTCAACGTCTCTTATCTGTCAAGTTGCCAAGTGATTAAGCTTTAAGGATGCCAACGCAAGCTGTTTAACTGAGCGTGCCGAACAATGGAGCTAGCTTTGGCTAGGGGTCTGCTCAAGGATAGCTGCGATTATCCTGTAATATCTGCTATGCATTTTTATCGCTTGTGATTTATACAGGCGCCAAAGCACATGTCATAATTGCGCCCCTGGGAGGTCAACTGTAAAAGGACACGGGCATGCGGCAAAGCCAAATGCAGCAACAATGCAACAAAGCAAAACAAGGCGAGCGAAAACGGAAAACGAATCCTGCATTAAGTCCTGTTTGTTGGTGTATGTGTGTGTCTCTATGTCACTCTCTGTGCGGCATAGCTGAAAATTGCATTTGAATAAGTCACAATTTATGCGTCGCATTGTGCTAGAAATATTGCAGCTTAGCAATATGCTAGCGTTGAGAGCGTGTCGCGTGACGCGTGACACGTAAGTGACGCGAA